ACCCCAACCCCCCCCACCTGACACCCCCTCCCCACACAAACCCCCTCACCCCTCACCCCCCCTTCCCCCTTCCTCCTCCTCTCTTCCTCCTCCTCCTCCTCCTCCTCCTCCTCCTCCTCCCCTCAGGCCGCGGCCCGGCCGCGCTGCCCCCGCCGCTGCCCCGGCCCCGCGGTACCTGCGGCGCTGGCGGTGCCGGTGTGCGGGCGCGCTGCCGGTGCCGGTGCGGTGCCGGGGGCGCTGCCGGGGGGTGCCGGGTGCGGGGGGGTCCCGGGGGTCCCGGGGGTCCCGGCCCGGCCCCGGCGCTGCGGCGGCTCCGCGGCTCCGGCCTCGCTCAAACAAAGGACCCGAGAGCCGCGCGCCCCGCCCGCGCGGACACGCCCCCGGACACGCCCCCCGCGGCCACGGCCACGCCCCCCGCGCGCGGCAAGGACACGCCCACCGAGGGAGGCACCGCCCCCTCAGAGACCAGGCCACGCCCACCGAATGTGACCGTATGTGGAGAAGCCACGCCCACTTCGCGGCGAGGCCACGCCCACCGCGGCGGCCGGGAGGGACTGGGATGGACTGGGAGGGATTGGGAGGGACTGGGGGGACTGGGAGGGACTGGGAGGGGATTGGGGGGGACTGGGAGGGATTGGGGGGACTGGGATGGACTGGGAGAACTGAGACTGGGGGGGACTGGGATGGACTGGGATGGACTGGGATGGACTGGGAGGGATTGGGGGGGACTGGGATGGACTGGGAGGGATTGGGGGGGACTGGGATGGACTGGGGGGGACTGGGATGGACTGGGATGGACTGGGATGGACTGGGAGGGATTGGGGGGGACTGGGATGGACTGGGAGGGATTGGGGGGACTGGGATCGACTGGGAGGGATTGGGAGGGATTGGGGGGGACTGGGAGAACTGGGACTGGGGGGGGGACTGGGGCGAAACTGGGATGGACTGGGAGGGACTGGGGGGGATTGGGGGGGACTAGGATGGACTGGGGGGGACTGGGATGGACTGGGGGGGACTGGGATGGACTGGGAGAACTGAGACTGGGGGGGGACTGGGGGGAAACTGGGATAGACTGGGAGAACTGGGAGGGATTGGGGGGGACTGGAATGGACTGGGAGGGACTGGGATGGACTGGGGGGGACTGGGATGGACTGGGGGGATTGGGAGAGACTGCGAGAGACTGGGAGGAACTGGGGTGGACTGGGAGGAACTGGGATGGGTTGGGGTGTACTGGAATGGACTGGAATATGATGAGATAACAGTGAGTGTCACTGGGACCAGTATAGAACCATACTGGGAATACCGGGCCCAGTCTAGGGTGACAGAGGGACTGGGACTGGGTGGCACTGGGACGCTCTGGGACCAGTACAGTCCAGTACTGGGAGAGCCTGAGACCAGTATAAGCTGGGAGTAAAACCAGTACAGGGTGACACGGGGACTGGGAGGCACTGGGACCAGTATAAGGTGGTACTGGGAGGCACTGGGACCAGTAGAATCCGGTACTGGGACCAGTTTAAGCCCATACTGGGACCAGATTAAGCCCATACTGGGACCAGTTTAAGCCCATACTGGGACCAGATTAAGCCCATACTGGGACCAGTTTAACCCGATACTGGGACCAGTTTAACCTGATACTGGGACCAGTTTAAGCCCATACTGGGACCAGTTTAACTCGATACTGGGACCAGTTTAAGCCCATACCAGGACCAGTTTAAGCCCATACTGGGACCAGTTTAAGCCCATATTGGGACCAGTTTAAGCCCACACTGGGACCAGTTTAAGCCATACTGGGACCAGTTTAAGCCATACTGGGACCAGTTTAAGCCATACTGGGACCAGTTTAACCTGATAGTGGGACCAGTTTAAGTCAATACTGGGACCAGTTTAAGCCCATACTGGGACCAGTTTAAGCCCATACTGGGACCAGTTTAAGGCCATACTGGGACCAGTTTAAGCCCATACTGGGACCAGTTTAGGCCCATACTGGGACCACTTTAAGCTCATACTGGGACCAGTTTAAGCCCATACTGGGACCAGTTTAACCCAATACTGGGACCAGTCTAAGCCCACACTGGGACCAGTTTAAGCCCATACCGGGACCACTTTAAGCCCATACTGGGACCAGTTTAAGCCCATACTAGGACCAGTTTAGGCCCACACTGGGACCAGTTTAAGCCCACACTGGGACCAGTTTAAGCCCATACTGGGACCAGTTTAAACCGATACTGGGACCAGTTTAACCTGACACTGGGACCAGTTTAAGCCCATACTGGGACCAGTTTACCCCATACTGGGCCCGTTGCAGCGCAGCTCCGCGCCCAGCAGGGGGCGCGCCGGACCCACAAGGGGCGGGGCCACCCTGGGGACACCGCGCTGCAGCCAATGGCAGAAGCCCCGTCCCAGCGCCGACCAATCGGCGCGCGGCACCTCCGCCAAGCCCCGCCCCTCCTCTCCCCCTCCCCTCGGGCAGCGCGCGGGACCGCACGTGCCCAAAGGGGGGCGTGGCCTCGCCTGGCGCTGGCCCCGCCCCCTCCCGGCCTGGCCCCGCCCCCCGGGAGGCTCCGGCGGGTGGGGGAGGGGCGCGGGGTGGGGGAGGGGCCGCGATTAACCCATCGGTGCCCGGAGGGGAGGGGGAGGGGCGGCCTGGCACGCGCGTGTGCCGTGGGGGAGGGGCTCCTGGGGGCGGGGCTTATTGGGGAGGGGCTCCTGGGGGCGGGGCTTATTGGGGAGGGGTTCTCGCACGGGGGGGGGGGGGGAGGGAGGATCTGCACCGGGAAATTTGGGGGTTAAACGGGGGAATTTGGGTTTTAAATGGGGAAATTTGGGATTTCTGTGGGGAAATTTGGGGTTTGTGTGGGGTAATTTGGGATTTTTGTGGGGTAATTGGGGTTTAAACAGGGGAATTTGGGATTTGTGTGAGGAAATTTGGGGTTTGGATGGGAAATTTGGGGTTTGGATGGGAAATTTGGGATTCGCGTGAGGAAATTTGGGGGTTGTGAGAGGAAATTTGGGATTTAAACGGGGAAATCGGGAATTCGTGAGGGAAATTTGGGATTTGCACGCGGGGTCACGTGATCCCCCACGCGCCCCTCCCCTCCCACGTGACGCTCCCCCAGCAACAACGGCCGAGCCGCGCTCTGATTGGCCGGCGCCGCCGTGACGTCACGGCAGGGCGCGGCGGGCCCGTTGCCATGGCAACGGCGGGAGCTGAAGGGGGGGGGCTGAGGAGGCCTCAGAAAGGGGAATTTGGACCCAAAAATTGTTTAAAATGACCCAAAAATTAAGCTTGGGGACGGCGGAGGGCTCCAAAACAGCAAAATTTGGTTCCAAAGTTGAAGATTTTGACCTTAAAATTGAGGGATGTGTCCCTAAATTCAAAGTTTTTGGCGTATAAATGGGATTTCGACCCCCAAAAATGAGATTTTTGTGCCAAAAGCAGGGAGTGTGGCAATAAAATTAATCACTTTGGCCCCCTAAAAAGGGGGTGGTCCCAAAAAAGAGGTGTTTGGTCCAAAAAAATGAGTGATTGGGCATTAAAAATAAGGGGGTTTCTCCCCAAAAAGCAGGAATGGACATTTTAAATGATGACTTGCACCCCAAAAATGAGGTTTTTTGTAAAAAATGAGGGCTTTGTCCTTAAAAGGGGGTCTAAAAATTGAGGGTTTTAACTTCAAGAGAGGCATTGGACCCTAAAGTTGAGAATTTGGACCCAAAAGTGAGGGGTTAGACCCTGAACTGAGGCTTTGGCACAAAAAATGGAGTTTGAGACACTAAAAATCCAATTTTTCTGCCCTAAAAATGTTTAAACTCTCCTAAAAATACTAAAAATTAAGTGTTTCGCCCTAAAACTTGGTTTGAATTCTAAAACTGTGGATTTCTGCCCTAAAAATGAGTGTTTGCACCTAAAAGTGGAATTTCAGATCCCATAAAAGAAGAATTTACACTCTAAAATGAGGCTTTTGGCCCTAAAAGTGATGTTTGAGACTCAAAAAATTCTATTTTTTTGTGCCCAAAGGAGGGGTTTGAACCCAAAACCTGGAAGTTTTCTCATTTAAAGTGGATTTTGGCCTCCAAAATGGAAAATGAAGATTTGGGCCCCAAATTAATACTTTTGGCCCTATAAATGTGGGTTTGGAGCCCAAAATGAGGTTTTGAACACCAAAAATACAGACTTTACCTTTAAAATTTGACAATTTGAGCCAAACAAAAGAACCTCTTAAATGTAGACATGAAATTTGGACTTTTAAAGATTTTTTGGATGCAGGAAGTGGGGATTTATGTGCAAAATGAGGCTTTAACTTTTTAAATGTATGTTTTGGGCATAAAATGAGGGATTTCAGCTTAAAAATGACTGTTTGAATAAAATAAACATTTTTGTCACTAAAACTGATCTCTTTTTTCACAAAAAAATAGAATTTGTGACCCTAAAAATGAGGATTTGGGTTGAAGACGGGGGTTTGGCAAAAACTGGCTTTTCCAGCCCAAACCCGAGGGATTTGGCCCCAAAACCACGAGGCCGGAAAGGCGAAATTTTGGGTTTTAGGGGGAAAATTGAAGATTTGGGACCTCAGGTGAGGGTGGACAGGTGACACCGGCCAGGTGGGACAGGTGGGACACGCCCCAAGATGGCCCCGCCCCCTCAAGCCCCTCCCCAAGCCCCGCCCACCCATTGATTGACAGGAAGGGGCGGAGCCAATTGCACAAAACTGTCTAATCAGCAGCAGCCGCGCGCGCAGGCCCCGCCCCCACGCGATGTCACACAGGAAGTCCCGCCTCTCTGTTGCCGTGATGTCACTTCCTGTTCATCCGCTGTGGCGGCGGCCATGTTACTGCGCTGGGAAAGCTCCGCCCCCTTTGTGTGGGCGGGGCTTCATAGTGACCAATGGGAGGGAGCCGTGAGCAAGCCCCGCCCCTTTCCCAGGGGTGACGCCTCAAAGCCGTTCAAGCTCCGCCTCCCCAGGTAAAGCCACGCCCATTAATGGAAGCCACGCCCATATTTGACCACGCCCACTGGGCGGCACCAAATGACGTGTAGGCCACACCCCTTTAGTGACCACACCCAATTCAGGCCACGCCCCCCGGTTAAGCCCCACCCACCCACACTTTGGGGGTGAATTTGGGGCAAATTCTTCCCTTTTTGGGTCCTTCATTCCCCTTTGCCCCGAGGGGGCGGAGCTTCAGGGTGGGGCGTGTCCTTCCCTTTGTGGGCGTGGCCCTGCCCAGTTTGGGTGTCCCGCCCCTCCCCCACCCCTCACACCTTGTAGTAGGTGGGGGGAGGGGCGGCGGGGGGGAGGGGCAGCTCGCGCAAGGGGTGGGCGGGGCCGGGCCCGTGGGGGCGTGGCCGGGTTGGCCCCGCCCCTCCCCCACCCCGTGGGGTTTTTGGGGGTCTCCGGGGGCGGCGCCGCCACCAGAGCGCCCCCCCCGCCCCCCCCAGCGCCAGCAGCGCCGCCCCTCCCCCCGCGCCCCACAGCTCCGCCCCTCCCCACGTGGGGGGCGGGCCCGGCCCGGGCGGGCTGGTCTGATTGGCTGAACCTGGCGGGAGGGGAGGAGTCAAGGGCGGGGCTTAGCCGGGATAAGCCCCTCCCTCGGCCCCTCCCCCCCACACCTTTACCTGTCCCGTCCTGGTCCGGTGGCGGCTCCGCCCCGGGGCCTGTGGGGGGGGAGGGGAGGGTGAGAGGGGGGAGGGGCGGGTGGGGGAGGGGCGGGTGGGGTTGGGGGTCACTCACGCTGCCCCACGCGCAGGGTGACCCGCATGGCCCGGGTCAGGCAGGCCCCGCCCTGACGGTTCTCCAGCCCCTCGGGGGTCCCGTCCGAGGTGGCTGCGGGGGGAAGGGGGACATTGTTACGTCATCTGTGACGTCATATCCGGCATCGTAACCCCCCCGTGACGTCATAGACCCCCCCTTCCCTTGATGTCGCTGTCACGCCCTGTGAGGTTATCGCCAACCCCAGTGACGTCACAGCATCGCGCATCGATGATGTCACAGGGCAGCGATGATGTCACAATGACATCACACCGCCTCTACTGCTGTCACCTCCCCCCGTGGCATCGCGCCATTGATGTCACTCTCCTCTGATGATATCACCAAGCCCCCTGATGACGTCACACCCCAATGACATCACACTCTGATGACATCACCAGGACCTCCCTGATGACGGAAGAGCTCCAAGACCCTCCCCAAAGCCCCCCTTACAGCTTCCCCCTCCCCTCCCCCACCACATCCATCCTCCCAGCCCTTTGCTATGACGTCACCACCCTGATGACATCACCACCCCAATGACATCACCATCCCCAGTGACATCACCACCCTTCCAATGACATCACCACCCATCCGATGACATCACCATTCTCCCAATGATGTCACCACCCCAATGACATCACCACCCTTCCAATGACATCACCACCCCTCCAATGACATCACCACCCCAATGACATCACCATTCTCCCAGTGACATCACCCTCTCCCAATGACACCACCACCCCAATAACATCACCACCCCCGTGATGACATCACCACCACCCCTGTCATGACATCACCACCCCTCCAGTGACATCACCACCCCCAATGACATCACCACCCACCCAATGACATCACCATTCTCCCAATGACACCACCACCCCTGATGACATCACCACCCCAATGACATCAGCATTCTCCTAATGACATCACCACCCCCGCGAGGACATCACCACCGCCCCTCTCGATGACATCGCCACCCCCGCAATGACATCACCACCCCCCCGCAATGACATCACCCTCCCCGCGATGACGTCATGGCTCACTGATGATGTAATAGTCGTGCTGGCGGCGGAACTCGTGGCCCCAGAGGTTGGGGCTGAACTCCTGGAACTTGATGGTGAAGCGCACGTCGCGCTGGGGGCGGTCGCAGGTCAGCAGCAGGGTGGGCGCGGGGGGCACCTGGCAGCGCCGCGCCTGCGCCCCCCCCACCAGGTACAGCTTGTAGTACTCGTACCCCGCGCCCCCCGGGCACACCAGGTCCAGGCGGTCACCGATCTGCGGGTACAGCACGTAGCCGCCCGCCTCCAGGAACCTGCGGGGACAGTGTGTGACACTGTGACATTGTATGTGTGACACTGTGTGACATTGTGTGTGTGACACTGTGTGTGACACTGCGGGTACAGCACGTAACCGCCCGCCTCCAGGAACCTGCGGGGACATTGTGTGACACTGTGACATTGTATGTGCGACACTGTGTGTGTGACACTGTGTGTGTGACACTGTGACACTGTGTGTGTGACACTGTGACACTGTGTGTGTGACACTGTGTGACACTGTGTGTGTGTGACACTGCGGGTACAGCACGTAACCGCCGGCCTCCAGGAACCTGCGGGAACAGTGGGACAGTGACACTGTGTGACACCGTGTGACACTGTGTGTGTGACACTCTGTGTGTGTGTGACACTGCGGGTACAGCACGTAGCCGCCGGCCTCCAGGAACCTGCGGGGACAGCAGGACAGTGACACCGTGTGACACTGTGTGTGTGACACTGTGTGTGTGACACTGCGGGTACAGCACGTAACCGCCCGCCTCCAGGAACCTGTGGGGACAGCGGGACAGTGTGTGACACCGTGTGACACTGTGTGTGTGTGACATTGTGTGTGTGTGACACTGTGTGTGTGACATTCTGTGTGTGTGACACTGTGTGTGTGACACCATCATGGTCAGGGTGACACAGCGGTGGTGACACAGTGTGCGTGTGACACCGTGTGTGACACTGTGACACTGTGAGTGTCACCATGTGACACTGTGACACTGTGAGTGTTACACCATAATGGTCAGGGTGACACAGCGGTGGTGACACAGTGTGCGAGTGACACCGTGACAGCTATGACACTGACACAGTGATGGTGACACCGTGGGGGTGACACAGGATCGGTGAAAGGTGTGATACAATCACAGTGACAGTGACACCATGGTGGTGACACTGCCACCGTGACAGGTGTGACATTGCCACTGTGACGGTGACACCATGGGGGTGACACTACCACCGTGACAGGTGTAACACAATCACAGTGACAGTGACACCATGGGGGTGACACTGTGACAGGTGTGACACTGCCACTGTGACGGTGACACCGTGTGACACCAGCTGAGGGTGACACCACCGGGCGTGGGGACACGGTGACAGCCCCGTCAGGCGCCCCGCAGGACCGGGGGGGGTTGGGCAGCCATTGTTGTCACCGTGGCAACGGCGCCGCTGCCCCTCCCCCACCCGCTCCGTGGGGGGCCGGGGGGGGGGAGGGGACACAGCAGGGGGGACCCGGGGCTGGGGGCACCCGAGGGGGCGACAGCGGGGGCTGGGCTGTCCCCGTGTGGCTGTCACCGTGTCACACAGACGGTGTCACCCGGTGTCACCACCCCGTGACAGCGTCACAGCCGCGCAGGGTGTGACAGGAGCGGTGACACCCGCGGTGACACACATCGTCCTTGTCACGCTGTCCGTGTCACACGCACGTGCTCAGGGTGACAGCCACGGTGTCACACACACTGTGACAGCGTCACTTACACTGTCACGGTGTCACACGGTCACCGTGTCACATTTATGGTGTCACACGGTGTCACAATGACAGTGTCACACTCACAGTGTCACACGGTGTCACACACAGTTACAGCATCAGGTGTCACTCACGGTGTCACACAGACGATGTCACCCACAGCCCCGCTGTGTCACCCCCCCGGTGTCCCACACACAGTGTCACCCCCACCCCCGGTGTCCCACACACAGTGTCACCCCCCATGTCCCCATCTCCATCTCTTAGTGTCACCTGGAGCGGGTGACAAGACCCCCAAAGCCCCCCCAAATCTTCCCACCACCCCCCAGACCCCCAAATCTCTTAGGACTCCCCCCCCCTCTGCCCCCCGATTTTTCAGGCCCCCCAGACCCCCCCAATCCTCCCAACCCCCCCATGTCCATCAACACCCCCCGACCCCCCAAAATCCCAAATCCTCAGAAACCCGGTCCCCCAAGCCCCCCCAATCCCCTCAGACCCCCCAAAACCTTCAAGACCCCCCAAACCCAGCAGAGCCTCGGTCCCCCAAGACCCCCCCAGCGCCCCCCAACCCCGTGAACCCCCCAGTGCCCCCCAACCCTGCGGACCCCCCAAACCCTTTGATGCCCCCCAAATCCCCCCAGTGCCCCTCAAACCCTTCAATCCCCCCCAAACCCCTCGATCCCCCCAGTGCCCCCAAACCCCTGGATCCCTCCCGGTGCCCCCCAACCCCCCCGGCGCCCCCCATCCCGGAGCCCCCCGCTCTCACCGCCGGTTCCCCGTGTGCCACACCACCGGCTCCAGGCTCAGCCCCGCGGCCCCCGCGCCCAGCACGGCCACCAGCAGCGCCGCCGCCCGCCCCGCCATCGCCCCCCGCCCCGCCGGGCCCCGGGACCCCCGGCCGGGACCCCCGGCCCGACCCCCGCCCCGACCCCCGGCCCGGCCGGACTCGAACCCGCGTCCCCGCGGGGCCGCCCCGGCTGCGCACGCGCCGGCTGGTGGGCGGGGCTTGGGGGGCGTGGTTTGGGGTTAGAGGCGTGGCTTGGAGCAGGGGCGGGGCCTCAGAGGGGGCGTGGTTTTGGGTTAATGAAGGGGCGTGGTTTATGGGTGTGGTCATAGGGCGTGGCAAGGTGGGTGTGGCTTTGGGAAAGGGGTGTGGCCTGGAGTGGGTGTGGCTCTGGGGGCGTGTCTAATTAGCAATTAACATGGGAAATTATGGAAAAGAGGGCGTGGCCATTACAAATAGGTGTGTCCACATTGATGGGCGTGGTTTCAGGTGGGGGCGTGGCCAGAAGTTCCAGTTTCCATGGTGACATCACACCCCCCCCCGTTGCCATGGTGACGGTGAAGCTGCTTAGGAACAGGCCCCGCCCCTTTGGGGAGGGGTCTCTTAAAGGGGCAACGCCGGAATTGGGGGGTGGGGAAGGTTTTGGGGTACCTGGGGAGGTTTTGGGGGGCGGGGGCGGGGCAGACCTGGCCACACCTCCAGCCGTGACAGCCCACAGGGGTGACAGAGGGTGACAGTCACAACGCCTTTAGTACCACCGAGGCCTGGGGGTGACACCGGGGGTCCCCAGCGGGGCTGTGACCCTCCAGGGGTCCCCAGGGCGACAGTCGCTGTCCCTGGGGTGGGTGACAGTCGGCGGGTGGGGTGGTCCCTGGTGTCCCCAAAGGGGTGACAATCGGTGCCACCGGGAGGGTGACACTCGGTGTCCATGGTCGCGGTGTCCCGGCTGTTGTCCCCAGGGGGGTGACACTCGGTGTGTCCAGGGAGGTGACAATCGCCAGTCCTGGTGTCCCCAGGGAGGTGACAGGCAGCGTCCCCAGGAGGGTGAAAATCTCCAGTCACGGAGTCCCGGGAAGGTGACAACCGGTGTCCCCAGGGAGGTGACAATGGCCACTCCCAGTGTCCCCAGAGGGGTGACAATCAGTGTCCCCGGGGAGGTGACAATCGCCAGTCTGGGTGTCCCCAAGGAGGTGACAATGGCCACTCCCAATGTCCTCGTCCCCGGGGAGGTGACAATCACCGCTCCCACTGTCCATGGGGGGGTCCCAGCCACTGTCCTTGGTGTCCCTTGAGGGGTCCCAGTTGGTGTCACCGATGTCCCCGGTGTCCCCAGTGTCCCCGGTGTCCCCAGTGGGGTCCCAGTTGGTGCCACCGATGTCCCCGGTGTCCCCGGTGTCCCCGGTGGGGTCCCAGCCGCTGTCCCCGCTGCCCTCGGGTCCCCACCACCAGAGCTGCAGGCGGATGTCCCCTCCCGGCTGTGTCCCGTCGCTGTCACCGTCGCTGTCACCGTCACTGTCCCAGGGCGCCGGGAACAGGCGCTGCCCCGAGGCCGTGGCCAGCAGGGGCAGCCCGGGGTGGAGGCTGCGGACGGGGGCGGTGAAATCGGGGTGTGGGGGGAACTTGAGGGGTTTGGGGTGGAAATTTGGGGGGTTTGGGGTGGGAATTGAAGGGGTTTGGAGTGGAAATTTGGGTGAAAATTTGGATTTGAGGTGGAAGTTTGGGGTGGAAATTGGGGGAGTTTGGGGTGGAAATTGGGGGAGTTTGGGGTGGAAATTTGGGGGGTTTGGGGTGGAAATTTGGGTGAAAATTTGGATTTGAGGTGGAAGTTTGGGGTGGAAATTGGGGCAGTTTGGAGTGGAAATTTAGAGAAGTTTGGGGTGGAAATGTGGGGAATTTCAGGTAGAAACTTGGGGAATTCGGGTGAAAATTTGGGGGTTTGGGGTGGAAATTGAGGAGGTTGGGGGGGGTCCCCAATATTTTTATGGGGGGGAGGGTCTGCAATGCTTTTTGGGCGGGTCCCCAATATTTTTGGTGGGTTCCCCATTATTTTGGGGGGGGTTCCCCAATATTTTGCGGGGGTTCCCCAATATTTTGGGAGAAGGTTCCCCAATATTTTGGGGGGGGCTCCCCATTATTTTCGGGGGGTTCCCCGTTATTTTGGGGGGGGTTCCCCATTATTTTGGGGGGGGTTCCCCATTATTTTCAGGGGGTTCCCCGTTATTTTGGGAGGGGTTCCCCAATATTTGGGGGGGGGTTCCCCATTATTTTCGGGAGGTTCCCCATTATTTTTGGGGGGGGTTTCCCGTTATTTTCAGGGGGTTCCCCATTATTTTCAGGGGGTTCCCCGTTATTTTCGGGGGGTTCCCCATTATTTTGGGGGGGGTTCCCCAATATTTTGGTGGGTTCCCCAATATTTTGAGGGGAGGTTCCCCAATATTTTCGAGGGGTTCCCCATTATTTTGGGAGGGTTCCCCAATATTTTGGGGGGAGGTTCCCCAATATTTTGGGAGGGGTTCCCCATTATTTTGGGGGGGATTCCCCAATATTTGGGGGGGGGTTCCCCATTATTTTCGGGAGGTTCCCCATTATTTTTTGGGGGGGGTTCCCCATTATTTTGGTGGGTTCCCAATTATTTTCGGGGGTTCCCCGTTATTTTTGGGGGGTTCCCTGTTATTTTCGGGGGGGGGTTCCCCAATATTTTCGTGAGGTTCCCCATTATTTTTGGGGGGTTCCCCGTTATTTTCGGGGTGTTCCCCGTTATTTTCGGGGTACCTGGTGCCGTTGACGCAGTCGCGGAGGGCGCGGAAGCGGAGCAGGGGGGGCAGTTCGGGGGGGTCCCCGGGGCCGGGGGGGGTCAGCGTGTCCCACACGGTGACGAAGCCGTCGGTGTCACCGCTGACCAGGAACCGCCCCGACCTGGGGGGGCACGGGCGGGGTGAGACCCCCTCCCCTTAAAACACCCCAAAAATGGGGGTCTGGGACCCCCCATAAGGGGATAGAGAGGTCCAGAAATCCCCTTGACCCCCCACCCAAAATTTCATTCAGGTATCCAGGACCTCCCAAAATTTTATCCAGGTGTCCAGGACCCCCCAGATTTACCCCAAAATGTGATCTGGGTGTCCAGGATCTCCCAAAATCCCCCCAAAATGTGATCTGGGTGTCCAGGACCCCACAAAAAGGTGACCCAGGTGTCCAGGACCTCTCAAAATTTCAGCCCAGTTGTTCAGGACACCCAAAAATCCCACCAAAAGGTGCCCCAGATGTTCAGGACCCCCTAAATTCCCCCCAAATGGTGACCCAGGTGTCCAGGACCCCCCAAAAGGTGACCCAGGTGTTCAGGATGTCCAAAAGGTGACCCAAGTGTTCAAGACCCACCCAAAAATCCCCACAGAATGCGCCCGAGGTGTTCAAGATCCCCCAGAAATTTGATCCAGGTTTTCAGGATCCCCCAAAAATCCCCGCAAAAGGCGATCCAGGTGTCCAGGACGCCTAAAAATCCTCTCTAAAAGTGCTCCAGGTGTTCAGCACTTCCCAAAATCTCCTAAAAACGTCACCCAGGTTTCCAGGACACCCCCAAAAATTAGACCCAGGTGTCCAGGACCCCCCAGAATCCCTCCAAAAAGTGACCCAGGTGTCCAGGAGGTCTCCAAAAAGTGACCCAGGTGTACAAAACCCCCCCAGGTGCCTCAGTTGTCCAAAATCCCCCCCAAAAGGTGCCGCAGCTTTTCGGGGGTCACTCACGGGTCGAGGTCAAAGGTCACGCGCTGGTTGGTGGCCACGCGCCGCGGCAGCGCCAGGAGGGGACGCTCGGGGACACGAAGGTCCCAGCACAGGATGTGGCTGTCCTGGGGGCGGGGCCAGCCCGGGACACGCCCATCAGGCCTGAAGCCACGCCCACAACACACAAAGCCACGCCCACCGTGCCGGGAGATGTCAATCAAACCACAAACCACACCCACAATGCCACGCCCAGTTTTTGTGATGTCCAGAGGCCACACCCCCAGCTCTGAGGCCACGCCCACACTCACAAAGCCCCGCCCCCTGCGCCAGGAGACGTCAATCAAACCACAAACCACGCCCAAAAACCCACGCCCACACCCACAAAGCCCCGCCCACTGAGGCCACGCCCTCGTGCCCACCCACAGGCCCCACCCAGTGCCACGCCCACTTTGGCCCCGCCCACCTTCCTCCCGCCGGCGTACAGGTGCGTCCCGCAGGGGCTGAAGCGCAGGTGAGTGGGCGCGGCCGGGAGGCGTGGCCAGAGCGCCACGGCCCCGCCCCCTCCCAGCGGGTACAGCCCCAGGCTCCGCCCATAGGAGCCGCAGGCGAACAGCGATTGGCTGGGGCTGAAGGCCAGGCAGCCAATCAGGCCTCGCTGGCCCTGCCCGCCCTCTGCGGGGGGGCGGAGACAAAGGTTAGGCCACGCCCTCTGTAGTGAGGCCACAACCCCATTGGACACACCCACCCACGCCCCGCCTTCCTTAGCCACGCCCATCAAAGCCACGCCCCATCAGACCCCACCCACCTGAGCCACGCCTTCCTTGGCCACGCCCATCAAAGCCACGCCCTCATGGACCGCTCAGTTGCATTTTTGCTGCCACGCCCTTCTAAGCCCCACCCCTTTCTGTTTAGACCATGCCCTCTTTGACCCCACCCCTTTTAGCCCCACCCAAATCCCATTTCTCCCCAAATAATGATGGGGGGAACCTCCCCTCCCCCCACACTAACCCCACCCCTTTAGGCCACGCCCCTTTCCCTTTAGGCCACGCCCATTTCAGCCCCACCCCGCCCCTTTTAACCCCTGACTTTCCCACCGAAACCCCATTTTGACCCAGAACAAAGGGTGGGAACCCCCCTGGCCCCGCCCCAGCCCCACCCACTGACCCCACCCCTTTAGGCCACGCCCCTTTCCTTTAGGCCACGCCCATTTCTGCCCCACCCTGCCCCGTTTAACCCCTTCTTTTCTCACCCAAACCCCATTTTCACCCCAAAACCAAGGCTGGGAACCGCCCCGGCCCCGCCCCGGCCCCACCCCGGGACTCCACCCCTTTAGGCCCCGCCCCCCGGGCCCCGCCCCTTTAGGCCCCGCCCCTCACGCCGCAGGCTCCGCTCCAGGCCGCTCCGGCCGGGCCGCTGGGTCGGGAACTCGCGCACGGCGCCGTCGAAGCCCCCCAGGAGCCGCGAGCCGTCGGGGGAGAAGGACAGAGAGTGGGGGGCCACCGGCTCGTCCTGGGGACCCCCGGTCAGCCGGGGCACCCCGAAACCAGACGGGGACCGGGGCACCCCAAAAACCAGCTGGGACATCCCAGGGAACCCCAAAAAACAGCTGGGACATCCCAGGGAACCCCAAAAACCAGACGGGTACCGGGGCACCCCAAAAACCAGTCGGGACATCCCAGGGAACCCCAAAAACCAGCCGGGTATCGGGGCACCCCAAAACCAGCCAGGGATTGGGGCACCCCAAAACCAGACGGGTATTGGGGCACCCCAAAAACCAGCCGGGTACTGGGGTACCCCAAACATCAGCTGGGACATCCCAGGGAACCCCAAAAACCAGCCGGGACATCCCAGGGAACCCCAAAAACCAGCCAGGTACCGGGGAATCCCAAAAACCAGCCGGGTACCGGGGCACCCCAAAAACCAGCTGGGACATCCCAGCGAACCCCAAAAACCAGCTGGGACATCCCAGGGAACCCCAAAAACCAGCCGGGTATTGGGGCACCCCGAAACAAGCCGGGTATCGGGGGCACCCCGAAAACCAGCCGGGTACTGGGGCACCCCAAAAACCTGCCGGGTATGGGGACACCCCAAAACCAGCTGGGACATCCCAGCGAACCCCAAAAACCAGCCGGGACATCCCAGCGAACCCCAAAAACCAGCTGGGGAATCCCAGGGAACCCCAAAAACCAGCCGGGTACCGGGGCACCCCAAAAACCAGCTGGGGCATCCCAGGGCACCCCAAAAACCAGCCGGGGATTGGGGACACCCCCTGGAGATATCCCAGGGGACCCAAAAACCCACCCAGGTACTGGGGACACCCCAAAACCCACCCGGGACATCCTGCGGGGTCCCCAAACCCAGTCCCTCCCAGTTCCCTCCCAGTCCCTCCCAGTTCCCTCCCAGTCCCTCCCAGTTCCCCCCAGTCCCTCCCAGTTCCCCCCCAGTCCCCCCAGTCCCACCAGTCCCCCCAGTCCCTCCCAGTCCCCCCCAGTCCCTCCCAGTCCCCTCCCAGTCCCTCCCAGTCCCCTCCCAGTCCCTCCCAGTCCCTCCCAGTTCCCTCCCAGTCCCTCCCAGTCCCTCCCAGTTTATCCCAGTTCCCTCCCAGTTCCCCCCCAGTCCCTCCCAGTTCCCTCCCAGTCCCCCCCAGTCCCTCCCAGTTTATCCCAGTTCCCTCCCAGTTCCCCCCCAGTCCCCTCCCAGTCCCTCTCAGTCTCCCCCAGTCCCCCTCAGTCCATCCCAGTTCCCTCCCAGTCCCTCCCCAGTCCCCCCCAGTCCCTCCCAGTTCCCCCAGTCCCACCAGGTGGTTGTGGGCCCGGAACGACCCCCGCAGGCTCCCGTCGAAGGCGTCCCAGAGGTGCACGGGGCTGTCCCGGCTGCTGGCGGCCACCCTGCCCAGTATAGACCAGTATGGACCAGTACAGACCAGTCCGGACCAGTACAGACCAGTATGGACCAGTACGGACCAGTACAGACCAGTCGGGACCAGTACAGACCAGTACGGACCAGCCCGGACCAGTACAGACCAGCAGCGCCCTCCCAGGAACCGCCCCTGCTCCCAGCACAGCCCCCCCAGTTCGTCCCAGTAACAACCAACACCATCCCAGTCCCTCCCAGTGTCCCCAGTACATCCCAGTTTCCTCCCAGTACATCCCAGTTCCCTCCCAGTCCCTCCCAGTCCCTCCCAGTACATCCCAGTTCCTTCCCAGTACATCCCAGTCCCCTCCCAGTACATCCCAGTACATCCCAGTTCCCTCCCAGTACATCCCAGTTCCCCCCAGTCCCTCCCAGTCCCTTCCCAGTGTCCCCAGTACATCCCAGTTCCCTCCCAGTACATCCCAGTGCCCCCCCAGTACATCCCAGTTCCCTCCCAGTACATCCCAGTTCCCTCCCAGTACATCCCAGTCCCTCCCAGTCCCTCCCAGTTCCCTCCCAGTCCCTCCCAGTACATCCCAGTCCCTCCCAGTCCCCCCCAGTCCCTCCCAGTCCCCTCCCAGTATATCCCAGTGCCCCCAGTGCTCACAGGCAGCTCGGGGGGTCGCTGGAGTCCATCAGGGGGTACCAGGTGAAGTCGTAGATGGTGTCACCTTCGGCCACCTGCACGGCCGGCACCTGCACCCGAGTGACCCCGAGTGACCCCGAGTGACCACTGAGTGACCACTGAGTGACCACTGATCCCAGAGTGACCCTGAGTGACCCAGAGTGACCACTGAGTGACCACTGAGTGACCACTGAGTGACCCCGAGTGACCCTGAGTGACCCTGAGTGACCACTGAGTGACCACTGATCCCAGAGTGACCCAGAGTGACCCCGAGTGACCACTGAGTGACCCCGAGTGACCCTGAGTGACCCCAAGTGACCACTGAGTGACCACTGAGTGACCACTGAGTGACCCCTGAGTGACCACTGAGTAACCCTGAGTGACCCCGAGTGACCCTGAGTGACCCCGAGTGACTCTGAGTGACCCCGAGTGACCAATGAGTGACCCTGAGTGACCCTGAGTGACCACTGAGTGACCCCGAGTGACCACTGAGTGACCACTGAGTGACCACTGCGTGACCCCAAGTGACCCTGAGTGACCCCGGGTGACCCCGAGGGACCCCAAGTGACCCCTGAGTGACCACTGAGTGACCAATAAGTGACCCCTGAGTGACCCTGAGTGACCACTGAGTGACCCCGAGTGACCAATGAGTGACCCTGAGTGACCCCGAGTGACCACTGAGTGACCCTGAGTGACCAATGAGTGACCCCTGAGTGACCACTGATCCCAGAGTGACCACTGAGTGACCACCGAGTGACCCCTGAGTGAATCCAGAAACTCCCAGTGACCCCAAAATGACCCCAAATGACCCCAGAGTGACCCCTGAAGATCCACAATGACCCCTCAGTGACCCCCAGACCCCCCAAACCCCTCCCAAAGTGACCCCAAACCCCCCCAAAAGTGACCCCAAACCCCCCCCAAAGTGACCCCAAATCCTCCCAAACCCCCCCAAAGTGACCCCAAATCCCCTCCAGGACCCTCCCAGTGACCCGAAACCCCCCAAAGTAACCCCCAAATCCCCACAGTAACCCCCAAATCCCCCCAAAAGTGACCCCAAATCCCCCCCAGGACCCCCCAAATGGCCCCAACCCCCCCCCCAGTGACCCCAAACCCCCCAAAGTGTCCCCAAATCCCCCCCAGGACCCCCCTCAGTGACCCCAAACCCCCCAAAGTGACCCCAAATCCTCCCAAACCCCCCCAGAGTGACCCCAAATGCCCCCCAGGACCCCCCTCAGTGACCCCAAACCCCCCAAAGTGACCTCAAATCCCCCCCAGGACCCCCCTCAGTGACCCCAAACCCCCCAAAATGACCCCCCCAGCCCCCCCCAGGACCCCTCCCCCACCAGCTGGGGGAGGGGCGCCCCCGGGGGGGGGCCGCGGGGGGAGGGGGAGGTCGAAGATCCTCAGGGCGTTGTCGTTGCTGCAGGTGAGGACGCAGGAGCCGTCGGGGGCCCTGGGGGGGACCCCCTTGTCACCCCAAAATAACCCCCAGGGACCCCAAAATAACCCCCAGGGACCCCAAAATAACCCCCAGGGACCCCCCTTGTCACCCCAAAATAACCCCAGGGACCCCAAAACAACCCCCAGGGACCCCCTTGTCACCCCAAAACAGCCCCCAGGGACCCCAAAACAACCCCCAGGGACCCCCTTGTCACCCCAAAATAACCCCCAGGGACCCCAAAATAAAACCCCCCAAGGGCCCCCCTTTGTCACCCCAAAGTAACCCCCAGGGACCCCAAAACAACCCCCAGGGACCCCAAAACAACCCCCAGGGGCCCCCATTGTGACCCCAAAATAACCCCCAGGGAACCCAAAATAAAACCCCCCAAGGGCCCCCTTTGTCACTCCAAAATAACCCCCAGGAACCCCAAAATAACCCCCAGGGACCCCAAAATAACCCCCAGGGACCCCAAAACAGCCCCCAGGGACCCCAAAAGAACCCCCAGGAACCCCAAAATAAAACCCCCCAAGGGACTCCCACTGTGACCCCAAAATTAACCCCGAGGGGACCCCAAAATAGCCCCCAGGGACCCCAAAATAAAATCCCCAAGGGACCCCCACTGCGACCCCAAAATAATCCCAAGGGACCTCAAAATAACCCCCCAGGGGACCCCAAAATAACCCCCAGAGGACCCCCAGGTGTTGGGGACCCCCAAACGTCCCCCCAGGTAACCCGGGGACCCCCAAACCCTCCCAAGGAACCCCCAGGGGACCCCAGACCTCCCCCCGAGGGGTTTGGGGGGTTTTGGGGTGACTTTGGGGGGGTTTTGGGGTGATTTTGGGTTTTTTTGGGGTCTCTCACCATTTGCAGCCTCGCAGGAAATTTTCGGGGCGCCGCGCGAATTCCTCCCGCGCCCCCCAAATCTGGCGGGGGGGGCGGCCCAGTTCGTACTGGGGGAAACTGGGGAGAGCCGGGGGGGGGGGTCAGGGACCCCAAAACTCCTCAGGGAGTCCGAGACCCCCGCCCCAAAACCCGAAATCCCCCCAAAAACTCACTCGAGCGCCTCGGGCTCCGCCGGGGCCGCGTCCGGAGGGGTCCCGGGGGGGGTGGGGCCCCCCTGAGGGGCTGCGGGGGGAGGGGAGAGGTCAGAGCCACGGCCACAGCCCAAAAAACACCCAAAAAAACCCCAAAATGCCCCCAAAAAAACCCCAAATCCTCCCGCGCCCCCCACGCGCACCGTCCGCCATGGGCGCCGCCATGATGGCGTGAGGCCACGCCCCTTCTGCGGCCACGCCCCCTCCGCGGCCACGCCCCTCGGCGGCCACGCCCTCATTTCCATATATGGAATAGCGCGGATTTGATTGGCTCCTCCCTCTGTGGGCGGGGCCTCGGCTTTTCCCGCCAACAGGGACGCCCGCGGTTTGGGGACCCCAAAAACGACCCCAAAACCGACCCCAAAAGGGCCCAGGGGTACTTGGGACCCCCAAAACCGACCCCAAAAGGGTCCTGGGACCCCCAAAACCGACCCCAAAAGGGCCCAGGGGTACTTGGGACCCCCAAAACCGACCCCAAAAGGACCCTGGGACCCCCAAAACCGACCCCAAAAGGGCCCAGGGGTACTTGGGACCCCCAAAACCGACCCCAAAAGGGTCCAGGGGCAGCTGGGACCCCCAAAACCGACCCCAAAAGGGTCCAGGGGCAGCTGGGACACCCCAAAACCGACCCCAAAAGGGTCCTGGGACCCCTAAAACCGACCCCAAAAGGGCCCAGGGGTACTTGGGACCCCCAAAACCGACCCCAAAAGGGCCCAGGGTACTTGGGACCCCCAAAACCGACCCCAAAAGGGCCCAGGGGTACTTGGGACCCCCAAAACCGACCCCAAAAGGGTCCAGGGGCAGCTGGGACCCCCAAAACCGACCCCAAAAGGGCCCAGGGGTACTTGGGACCCCCAAAACCGACCCCAAAAGGGCCCAGGGGCAGCTGGGACACCCCAAAATGTCACCTGAGGGTCTGGGGGTTCTGGGGGACCCCAAAATGTGACCCAGAGGGCTCAGACTGACACAGGGCACCCCAAAATGTCACCTGAGGGTTTGGGGTCCCTAAAGGGGTTCTGGAGTGGGTGGGGAGTAACCAAGGGGACACAACCACGGCCACCATGACCCAACCATGGCCACCATGAGCCAGCCATGGCCACCATGACCCAACCATGGCCACCATGACCCAACCACGGCCACCATGACCCAACCATGGACACCGTGACCCAACCACGGCCACCATGAGCCACCCACGGCCACCATGACCCAACCATGGCCACCATGACCCAACCATGGCCACCATCACCCAACTATGGCCACCGTGACCCAACCACAGTGACCATGACCCAGCCATGGCCACCATGACCCACCCATGGCCACCATCAACCAACTATGGCCACCATGACCCAACCATGGCCACCGTGACCCAGCCATGGCCACCATCACCCATCCATGGCCACCATGACCCAACCATGGCCACCATGACCCAACTGTGATGTTCCTCCACGTCCCCCTCAAGTCCCTCAGGGCCCCCACAGGTGCCCAGGTGTGTCCAGGTGACCCCAAATGAGGAATTTTGGGGTCTCCCCTCTCCCCAAAAAGAGTCGCAGGTGAAAATCAATAAAACTTTTATTAACTCCCCCCAAAATCTGAAATCCCCCAAAATTCGCTTCCCCTCCCGCCACAACAACCCCGAAAGTGAAAACAGCAAAATAAACGGGGGGTGGGGGAGGGGCAAAGGACCCCCCCCCCCCGAACCCCCAAAACCGCCACCAACGAGCGCCCCCCTCCCCCTCCCCCTCCTCATTAATGAACCCCATAAATTACAACCCCCCCCAGCCCCCCCCAAACTGAGGGGGGCTCCCACACCTGCCCCTCCCCCACCCCAACGTGGGGGTCACCTCTAACTTGGGGGGGTCACCCTCGACCTGGGGGTCACCCCAAATTTAAGGGTCAGAGCCGGGTTTGGGGATCAACCCCACAGTTTAAGGGTTTCACCCCAATTTAGGGTTTCACTCTAATTTAGGGGTCCCCCGAGTTTGGGGGTCCCCCCCGTTTGGGGGTCAGCCCCAGTTTGGGGGTTGCCCCCTCTGAACTTGGGGGTCAAGTTCCCCCTCAAACCTGAGGGTCCCTCCAGTTTTGGGGGTGACCCCAAATTTAGGGGTGACGCCAAATTTGGCCATCACCACCTTTTGGTGTCACCCCAATTCCAGGGTGACCCCAACACTTTGTGGGGACCCGGGGGGTGACAACAGCCCCGTCCCCACCGGAACTTGGGGGTTTGGGGGTGACAACCCCAACCCCATTTGCATTTGGGGGTGACAACCCCAAACTCATTTGCATTTGGGGGTAACAACCCCAAACTCATTTGCATTGGGGGTGACAACCCCAAACTCATTTGCATTTGGGGTGACAACACCGTTTCTGTTGGACATTCTGGTTTGGGGGTGACAATTCCATTCCCATGGGAATTCGGGTGTCACCCCACAACCGGTTGTGGGTTTTGGGGGGTGACACCCCCGACCCCATTTTAGCGTGGGGGTGACGCCGCCGTTCCTGTGTGAGTTTTGGGGTCACCCCCACGGCCTGTGGGGTCTGGGGGTGACAACCACCCCGAGCCCACCCGAATTTGGGGGTTCAGGGGGTGCCACTCCTGACCCCGTATCCATCCGGGGGTTTGGGGGGTGACAACCTCCACGGCCCCAAATCAACGCTGGGGTCACCCCCACGGCCTGCGGGGTTTGGGGGTGACAACAACCCCGTCCCCGGATGGACGTGGGGCTGTTGGGGAGCGACAACACCCCTGAGCCCGTGTCGATCTGGGGGTCACCCCCACGGCCTGGGGCGGGGGTTTTGGGGGGTGCCGCCCCCGCCCCCACAGGCCGACCCTCAGTTGTCGTCGTCGCTGTCGTCGGGGCTGATGGCCGGGCTGGTGAGGCTGTAGGTGGGCGAGGTGGGGCTGTAGCCGGGGGACGTGGGGCTGTAGGTGGAGCCCTTGGGCGAGGTGGGGCTGTAGGTGGGCGAGGTGGGGCTGTACTTGGGCGAGGTGGGGCTGTAGGTGGGCGAGGTGGGGCTGTACTTGGGCGACGTCGGGGTGTAGACGGGCGAGGTGGGGCTGTAGGTGGGCGAGGTGGGGCTGTACTTGGGCGTGGTGGGGCTGTAGGTGGGTGAGGTGGGGCTGTACTTGGGCGAGGTGGGGCTGTACTTGGGGGAGGTGGGGCTGTACTTGGGCGAGGTCGGGGTGTACTCGGGGGAGCTGGGGCTGTAGCTGGGGCTGGTCGGGGTGTACTTGGGGGACGTGGGGCTGTAGCTGGGGCTGCTGGGGCTGTAGCTGGGGCTGCTGGGGGTGTAGGTGGGTGACTGCGGGGTGTAGCGGGGGCTGGACGGGGAGTAACTGGGGGAGGTGGGGCTGTAACTGGGGGAAGTGGGGCTGTAGCTGGGCGAGGTGGGGCTGTAGTTGGGCGAGGTCGGGGTGTAGTTGGGGCTGGTGGGGCTGTAACTGGGAGAGGTGGGGCTGTAACTGGGAGAGGTCGGGGTGTAGTTGGGGCTGGTGGGGCTGTAGTTGGGTGAGGTGGGGCTGTAGCTGGGCGAGGTGGGGCTGTAACTGGGCGAGGTCGGGCTGTAACTGGGAGAAGTGGGGCTGTAACTGGGAGAGGTGGGGCTGTAGCTCGGTGAGGTGGGGCTGTAACTGGGCGAGGTGGGGCTGTAGCTGGGAGACGTCGGGCTGTAACTGGGCGAGGTGGGGCTGTAGCTGGGCGAAGTGGGGCTGTAACTGGGGGAGGTGGGGCTGTAGCTCGGGGAGGTCGGGCTGTAACTGGGGGAGGTCGGGCTGTAACTGGGCGAGGTCGGGCTGTAGCTGGGAGAGGTGGGGCTGTAGCTGGGCGAGGTGGGGCTGTAGTTGGGCGAGGTAGGGCTGTAGCTGGGGGATGTGGGGCTGTAACTGGGAGAGGTGGGGCTGTAGCTGGGGCTCTGTGGGGTGTAGCCCCCCGGCGACCGCGGCTCGTAGGCGGGGGACGTCGGGCTGTAGCTGGGGGACATGGCGCCACCTGCAGAGAGGGGACATGGGGGTCAGGAGGGTGTTGGGGAGGGTGGCGGGGTGTTGTAGAGGGTTGTGGGGCCCTTTGAGGTGTTGTTCAGGTGTTGTGGGGCTGTTGCTGGTGTTGGGGTGTTGTGGGTCCCTGTGAGGTGATGTTCGGGTGTTGTGGGGCTCAGTGACGGGGTGTTACAGGGCTGTTTTGGGGTGTTTCCGTGAGTTTTGGGTGTTGTTAGGTGTTACAGGTTGTTTTACAGGTGTTTTTGTTATTTTAAGGGTATTTTAGGGTGTTTAAGTGTGTTTTGGAGTGTTGTTAGTGATTACAGGGTGTTTCATGGGAGTTTTGGGTTATTTTAAGGGTATTTAAGGGTGTTTCAGTGTGTTTTGGGTGTTGTTAGGTGTTACAGGCTGTTTTATGTGTGTTTTTGTTACTTTAAGGGTATTTTAGGGTGTTTCAGTGAATTCTAAGGTGTTGTCAGGCGTTACAGGGTGTTTTATGGGTGTTTCGGGTTATTTTAGGGCATTTCAATTTGTTTTGGGGTGTTGTCAGGTGTTACAGGGTGTTTTACAGGTGTTTTAGTTATTTTAAGGGTATTTTAGGGTGTTTCAGTGTGTTTTGGAGTGTTGTCAGTGATTACAGGGTGTTTTATGGGAGTTTTGGGTTATTTTAATGGTATTTTAGGGTGTTTCAGTGAGTTTTGGGTGTTGTTAGGTGTCACAGGTTGTTTTACTGGCGTTTTCGTTATTTTAAGGATATTTTAGGGTGTTTCAGTGAGTTCTGGGGTGTTGTCAGGTGTTTCACAGTGTTTTATGTGTGTTGTGGGTTATTTTACCGTGTTTCAGTGTGTTTTGGGGTGTTGTTAGGTGTTACAGGGTGTTTTATGGGTGTTTTCGTTACTTTAAGGGTATTTTAGGGTGTTCCAGTTAGTTCTGGGGTGTTGTCAGGTGTTACAGGGTGATTTATGGGTGTTTCGGGTTATTTTAGGGTATTTCAGTTAGTTCTGGGGTGTTGTTAGGTGTTACAGGTTGTTTTACAGGTGTTTTTGTTATTTTAAGGGTATTTTAGGGTGTTTCAGTGTGTTTGGGGTGTTGTCAGGTGTTTCAGGGTGTTTTATGGGTGTTTTCGTTACTTTAAGGGTATTTTAGGGTGTTTCAGTGAGTTCTGGGGTGTTGTCAGGCGTTACGGGCTGTTTTATGGGTGTTTCAGGTT